TGCCCTACACCCCACAGGCCTTCACTGCTGCTTGCAGGGTCGCAAGACTTTCTGAAGCTTAAGATTTTGTTTCGTTTGTGTTTTGGAGTTCGCTGTCGGTTGCAGATAAATCTACCCAGAATCCAAAGACCAAACGTGAAGACCCTACAACCTTAAAAACCCAAGCCAAACTTCAGTTTAACATAGCTGTGGACAACTGTGCTTTTGACTGTACCCTGCAATGCGGGCTTTGTCCAAGCTAGGTGGGAGGCCAAAACCCCAAGCCAAAAATGCCCAAGCTTTACAGCCCTTGACTAAAAAGGCCTCCAACACTAGCGCCCTACGCCGGAAGGAACGAGCGGCCCGCCTTGCTGCCCGCTCTGCTGCCGAGGCCCGCTCCTCTCGTTTCACATTCGGGCAAGTTTAGGCTTTTAAAATGTTGTGAGGGTTTTTTCAGGTGAGTCTAGGGTTGGTGCGGCTTTTGGTTTTGGGGTGTTGGCTTGCTGTTGCATCTTGTTGCACTGCAGGTGTAAGGCCTCATTACCAGTTAGTTAGAGCGGAAAGGAGAGTTTGTTCGTGGTCTCACTTGGATCAGAGGAATGAGCCTGAATAAGCTTGTATGATTAGCATCCTTATCCTGATCTACATGAAGTGCAGCTGGTTGGCGATGCTGAACCCATGGCTACCCGCAGACGCCGCAGTGCTCGCTGCATGTGTGTCATGTGGTGCTTCAGATTTCAGTGTTTGGTTCGGGGTCGGCCAGGCGTCTTGCGTTTTGCGTGCCCCTGAAAGGCGACCCTGCCCTATTTATCCCAATCGATGAAACCCCATGGTCCTCAGAGATAAAGAGCACCTTCAGAGCAAGAGAGATTCCGCTCAGGCACCCGAGGCTGCCGGGCGCTATGCAGACGAGAAGGATGTGCGTTGCACAACCACTGCCGGGGGGGATTTTTCCTAGAAATTTAGAGGAGGATCCTTCCGAGGACAAAACCCAACAGCAGATGGGCATGTTCGGTTTCTAGATTATTCGGAGCGTGTGTTCAATCTTCGAAGACCAAAAGCGCCCAAAAAGCACCAAACGCCTTCATGGTGCCTTGCAGGCTATCAAACTGCAGTGTTTCAGCGAGTTCTTCGAGATTGAGAATAATGGGAGCTAGGATCCTTATCATAAAGCGACCCCTAGTTTTCCGAGAAGCCGTTTATACACCCCCAAACCCCTTAAGTCCTGAATGGGAATCTCATGTCGCATGGAGCGCTGCCCGGCAGCCCCAGGAAGCAATGGCCTCCCCTCTTTGCCTAAAGCCTGTAGAAACTTTAAGCTCATCCGAAATCCCTGAACCCTAAACCCCTGTAGAAACTCTAAACTCATCCGAAATCCCTGAACGAAAAATCCCCTGTAGAAACTCTAAACCCATCCGAAAATCCGAACGCATCGCTTGGGTGGAGGCTCTCTTGGCCGACATCCGCTGGGCATTGGCCCTCGTTGAAAGCAGAAGCTTTGAGGCGAAGGCCTGGTTTCAGGGTTTTGGGTTTTGAGGGATTTTAGTGTTTAGGGTTCAGGGATTTTAGGGTTTAAGGGTTTAGGGTTTTGGGGTTTTGGGTTTTTGGGTTTTCGGCATTGTTTTAGGTTTGAGGGTTTGTGCCGCTAGGTTTGAAGCTTTTTTGCTTGCGCGTTTCAGCACTCACACTCGGATGAACCTAGGCGAGGATGTCTGGTACAGGACAAGAGCACATTGGCCATGCATGCAAAGAACCCTTCTTGGATTCATCACGGCTTCAGGCCAGAATCCTTACACTTTTTCGCAGTCGTGCTATACATGCAAGTTTCCCGGCCTTCTTCCAATTCATTCCATCACTGCTGCTACACATGGAGGTCTTTTCACATATCGGCAAGCACAACAAATTCACGAATTCTCGCCCCACTGAGGAAGCTCCTCATCAGCCCCTGCCCTCTTTCGGCTCGTTAATCACACTCGTGCGAGCTGAAAGGAGGCGGGACAGGCAGCCTCAGTCTCTGTCTCTTGTCAGGTTTGAACCCTGCATTCGTGTCTCGCCTTTGCCGACGGCGCAAACTTGCAGCCCCTCAGGAAAACTGTTCAATCGCAGCTTCTGCACCTTCCCTGGCCCCTCCGTGTTCGCATCACGCATTTGTGCTAGAGCCCATGTTGTTGATTCCCATGCAGGTGGCGCAGACTTGCTGCCCCTCAGGCCTTTTGCTGTTTCGCATCTGTCCCCCAGTCACTGTCGTGTCCATCTTTGTATCGGGCGATGGTGTTCACGCCCATGTCCCAAATTCACATGCAATGAATGCTATGAATTCCCAAATTCTGATGGCAGAGCTCAACAGGCTGCCTTCTGCCTCTTTTGCGGTTTGAATTCCAGAATTCCTGGCATGCTTCTACAGATGGCGCATACTTGCGGCCCCTCCAACAAGTTAAAGCTCCTCGTCTATTGCTTGAGCGTGACAATGTCGTGCCATCCCCTCCTCCGGTGTCCTGTCTCCTCATCGCAGTTCAGACCGTCTGCTGCTCAACCATCGGCGCGGGTTAGTGGTTTCTAAACCCCCTAGGGTTCGGGAGGAGAGGACCCCTATCTCCACAAGTTTGCAGTCCCAGACATGACAGCCTCAGGGAGGAGGGGGAGGGCCGTCATTGGTTCGGGGGGCCCAGGCGGACTCCACGGCGTGTAACTCGCTCGGTGGAACCTGTGCCAGGGCTATTTGGGATGTTTCCGGGGTCGGTTGCTTTGCTTCACTCGGGTGCAACAGTAGCAGAGCGCAACGCTTCAACAAATGACGCAAACAAGAGGATAACGCACGCTTGTTTTGGTGGCTTTGGCTTCGGGAGACTACAGTGTGCAACGGCGCTTTGGCTTGCCTACACTCGATATGTAGCGGGAAAAGGGGGGACGAGGCTAGGGGGAAGGCAGGCCGCTCGCACTCCTTTCGGCTGTCTGCTTTGCCGAGTACTGTGTCTGTGCTCCTGGACCATTATCGGCACCTCGCTGAAAAACAACGGCTGCACCGGGTCGCCATGCACATGCATTAACATGCATTAAATTCAAAGGTTCGTGTAGCTTGCACCATGCTTCCAATTCCACCTCGGGCTGAAACAAAGGCCTAATCACCACAATCGGCCACCAGGCTAAGCAGGAAACCTAGGGGTGTTTGGGCATACCAGCAAGCTGCAAATTCTATCCCACTTCCCTGGGCCTTGCATTAAATTCTACGACTTGCATTAAATTCAAGTGACATGCAGTATTCGGTGTCACGTCCTGGAGCTTGGGGAGGGGGCCTCGGGTCGTCGGCAGAGTAAAACCCCCCATCAGGCCTACAGGCGGCTAGATAGCCCTAACTGACCCTGGCCCCTTCCTGTCAAAATCAACTTATCACATCGTGCCCCCTAGGAGCTGGGCGATGACTGTCCTAGGCACGCACAGCACCCGACCGTCGGGAAGCGTCACTGGCATGAGGATCGACCGGGTGCCCACAGCCATCGGCAGTGACTCGTCGAGGTGTAGCAAGGTGGGCCCTGCACTCGCCGCCGGTGGCACCCACTGTTGTTGCTGTTGTTGTGCTGGCGGCGGTGGCGGGCTTCCCCCGCTGGGGGGGGAGGCTTGCCCATCTCCCTCCTGTTGCGTCGGCGGGTCCAAGCGAGCACGGATCTGGTCGATGTTGCGCCCCAAGTCATCGAGTTTGTCCCGAAGGATGGTTAGGCGCTCAGGCAAGTGGTCTGTCCTGTGCTCCATATACTCGCACTGTTGCTGGACCCATGCAATAACATCGCGGGTCTCCCTATGCTCCTTGTTGTTCTTGTCGTAGGCCCTGGCGAGCTCCCGCATCACTTCATTGAATTTGTCTTGCAGGGTTGACCCCACTGCCGTGAGGAGTTTCTGAATTCCATTCATGTCCGTGCGCGAATTCTTCTGGCTTTCCGAAATGCATGCAGTGATGTCGCCACGGACCTTATCCGACAACTTGTCGAGTCTCTTGTCCAACGCCGAGAGGAGGTCCTTTTGAAGGTTGTGGGATACGCCGAGGCCGTGTCCCTCCATGTCCGACTTCAAGGTTTGCACGAACCCCTCGACTTCGTCCACTACCTCTCGGCGCAAGGTGCGCAGGGATTTGCAAATTCCAGCATGCACGACTTCCAGCCGGGTCGCCATCTTCTCCACTGCCAGTCCATTAGACATGGACTTGTTGATGGCCGCCTGAATCCTGGCCTGGATGTCCTGGAATAGCATCCCGTCTCGAGTCATTTGCCCCTCATCCTTCAAGGACCGTTCTAGGTCCTTGAGGGCCTGCAGGACCTCCCGAAGGAGGTTACGGTGTGCGCGTTCGGCTTGTTGGGCCATCCCCATGCTGCGGTAGCACCACAGCCACGTGACCACCGCAGTCATCACAATGGTCAGGGCTGTCTGGGCTGATCCCTGTCCGAACATCATCTCCATCACGGTGAGCGGCCAGTCGAAGAAAACGTTCATGGCTGTTACACGAACTAGGCGTCGACTCGCTGAGGCTTGGGAGGAGATGACTGCAAGTGTCGGGGTGCTCTAGGGAGATGCATCCAGCAGTGATCCCTAACTCACAAAGCATCAGTCCCTACACCTACCGTTCGACCCTGCGCAAGCCCGAACCTCACAGAAGCGCAACCTAACCAGCAGCCCCTGAAATGACTCGCAAACGGCAGCCACTAACCCTCCTCTGGAACCCCCTTCCCTTCCCAAGGCACCCCACCTGGCTCGTAGTCCCAGGCGGCGGGCGGCTGCGTGTCTACTCATGGTCTCGTCAAACATGCACAGTCGCTGCACTTCACCCCTCCTCTCGCGGGGCTCTACCCGATACAGCTCTCACAACCTCTCTTTTGCCCGAGCCATGCATCACTCGTAAGTTGGTGTTTGTATACAACTTTCCATGCATTTTACTGGAAAAGCAGTGGGTCATGCAAAACGGACATGCAAGTCGCACTGACGGGTTACAAATAAATTCGCCTGCAGGCATGCTACAATTCTACTGGGCTCTCTCAATCCAGGCTGACCAGCGGAGCTGGCAGGGCTTCGTGCAGTGCATCCAGGGAGTTTTGCATCACCTCCACTGCATGCTGTATCTCCTCTATTTTGTCGGACAGCTCTCCCAGCCGGTGTCGCAAGAAACCCACATGGTGCACCTCTGCCACGTCGCGTCGTCTGTCATGCAGTGTCTGGAGCAGGTCGTGCATATGTTGGAGCGACTGTAGGTTTCGGCGGATCTCCAGTCCACCGAACAACGAGCTGAGCGCATCATTCATTTTCTTGCGGATGTAGATTGACTCCGCGAGGACCTCGTCCAGTAGCCCTGATTGCCGAGTGGCATTGTCATGAATTCGGCTCCATGCTTCCGATTGAATTCGCATGGCTCGTAATTCGCCTGTAAGCTGGCGAAGCGTCGCCGCCAGGACCACTGTGGCCACGGCGACCAAGACACATGTCATTGCCCCCCAATCCATGTGGGGAGGGATTAAAACACGGAGTGGCATAGGCGCGCGGTGGCTGTGAGCCCAAGCCTGCGGTTTCCCCACAGTGCTTTGCCACTCCGGATCTATAAATGAACATGCAAAACCCTGCAATTACTCTTCCAAATCTGAAAGGATGCACTGCCAATAGTCCGGTTCTGGACTTACTCATGCCAAACACAAGCTTGCCACGTCTGATTCTGAGTCTGTCAACAAGTCGATCGTAGGCGGGCATTCGTCACCCTCAAGATCGATGGGCTCAATAGGCCCGTGTTGCAGGAGGACCCCTCGGGGCCAAATGGCCCTCGGTGTGAATCGCAACTGGCGCGATATCGTGGCCCCCCACTGTTCGTACTTGAAGCGCTCCTCATCCGCCGGCGTAGGGGGCCTAAACCCTAGGGATATCAGGCCCCACGTGGCTTCCGGGCTGAGGTTGGCAGCCACATTGGCGATGCTATAGGCTGTCAGGATCCACCGGTCGCCCACCCAAGGGACTGTTGCATGCAGCACGGTCTTGGAAGAGAACGCGAACGGGCTGGTGAGGTCCACCTTGATGCCCAACTTCGTCTTGCCTTTGATGGTCCTGGCATGTGTCCCTCTGTCATGCTCCAGCCAGAGCTCTCCCCCTGTGAAAGAGTTTGTCAGGGCAACTAGCCCCCCCGGGACTTCCGAATTCCGTGCATCTGTGTGAGGGGGGGTAGCCACGTTGTCGTGCACCGTGACAGTCGTGAACTTGGCATCGGGCATCCATTGAGTGACAAACTTGGTGCACAAGCGAGTAGTCAGTGGATATCTGCGACTGGATGCTCTCTGGCCCGTAGTGACCCGTTGGAAGGCTCCAAAGTGGAAGGACTTCCCTCCCCATCGCGGCGTCCATTCGGGCCCCGGGATGAGCCTGAGCACTTGCACCAGTTGCTCCTTGGTGACAAAGCCGCCATCCTGTTGGATCCGGAGTGCCGCGATCTCCGCTTCCAGTCGGGGTTGTTTCTTGGGCATGGCGGGGTACCTGCTGGCTACGTGGCTCGAGTAGAAAAGTGCTGCCGAAGATAAGTCTGATTTTCTCGTTCGCCCTGCCCCCCCCCCCCCACGTGGGTTAGTCTAAAACCATCACGGGGGACAGTCTCGAAGGCCCTGAAGTGAGGCTCCAGGTTCAGGGTAGCAGTTGGGGTCTTAGGGCGAGGGTGATCACGGAATTGGCCTCGCTGAAGTACTGTGTGATCTGGAAGTCTGCTGTCCTGTATAAGAACTGCCATTCCGCGGGGAGGGGAGTCGTCTTGAACCCCAACTGTAGTGCCCACCTGTCCGGGAGCCTCTTCGGAGTCAGTGAGAGCTTGTCCAACAGGCCAACCTCTTCTCCTACCCTGGTGAACCGAGCCGCTTCAGGGTTCCTACTGTCCTGCATGCCTTCCAGGGCCGATTTGGATAGCAGGTGTGACGGGAGTACGACGCGCGGGGTCCCCAGCGGTTCAGTTACGTACAGCAGTTCAAGGACTTTACACACGAAATTCAGGACTGCAAAGGGCTCCACTCCTTGTTGTGTGGGTCGCAAGCTGACATGAGCTACCGGGGTCTCTGGGGCCTTGACTTTGGGGCGGAAGAAGTAAACTCCTGCGACTATGTCCCCTGGAGTGTGGGTGACCCACACGGTCAAAGTGCAGCGGGCATCAGCTCTCCAGGGCTGGAGGTGAACAACCCCTTTCCGATATAGCCCGTCCAAGGCATCCCGCCTGGGCCTTAGTGCAACTATGCCCTTCTCAAGAACCACCAGTTGCCGTCCTGCCATATATTCTGTGCTGTCAGGAAGCGCGGCCCCCACACCCCAAGAGGCGATCCATCGGGGCAGCATGGCCCGCCACGCTTCTCGATCCCTGGCCAACCATTCCCAGTGTTCTGGCTCGTGCGGGTGCCGGATTTGACGGTACCTGAGCCTGAACTTATGCATTGGACTCTCAGACAACCAAGACGGTTTGACCGCCCCCTGCGATAGTCGAAGGCTACTTGTGGCACGCAGGAGTCGTGTCACGGGGGTAGTCTCCTCTGACCTAGCGAGGTGACCCATGTAGGTCCATATGCGTGTGAGCCAAGTGACTTGCCATGCGGGGCCTCGGAATCGCCTGCAGTAGACCTTCAGGGCACGTCTGCACCCCTGGACGTTCTCAAGCCAAGTGCTGAAGGGATCGCGATGGAATCTGTAGATCCCCAACAACGACGAGTTTTTGAGGCCTTCCAGAGCTTTTAGAGAGCGCACGGAGGGCCATACTACTGACGCACACCATGACCATTTCGATGCGATGTAGCTTTCGAATAGAACTGCTTTGGTGCGGTGATCTGTTTCTGCCCTGTCAAGCAGCTTTTTCATGCCAAAATAGGCATTGTTCATCTTGCGCAGGGGGTGAACCAGCATCAAATCCGGCGTGTTCACCTGGTTTATGTGCACTCCTAAGAAGACCAGGCAGTCGCGCCCGACCAGAGGAGTACAACTGCCTCTGGGCCATACGCCGGGGGTGGCCCCTCCCACGTTGAGGACCGCGCATTTCCTGTGGTTCACATGCAGACCTATCGCGGCCAAACAATCTGTCAAGTCGTGCAGCTTGCGCTGCAATTCTGGAGCTGACTCCGCGAATAATAACACGTCGTCGGCGTATGAAAGGTAGTGTGGCAGGGACACCTCGTCACCCCAGGTGGGGAACTTCCGGTTCCACTTCTCCTGCAGACCACCCAAGAAGTGATCGATAATGCGACTGAACAAGTCTGCACTATAGCTTGTCCCCTGTAGGACCCCTTGTTGTACATGCACGTACCAAGAGTCGGTCCTGAGTGTTATCAGAAGCCTGTTCCCTTGACTCAATTCCCAAAGATGTGCCGCCTCGTAGCACGGCGCGCACATCGTGAGGTATTGCACGATTGATGCGTGTGACACTGAGTCAAACGCCGCCCTGATATCTAACTTGGCAATGTGTGCATCAGCCCCTCTCTTGCGTCTCATGATGCCAATAATCGTTTGAGCAGCTAGGATTCCGTCTACGGTTTGGGTGCGGGGGCGGCAGCCCATTTGCCCCCCCACGTAGGGGGGGCAATGCCGGGCCACCCGAGTCATAACTAGCCTCCCAAAGATTTTTGACATGCAGGGCGACAAACAGATCGGTCTTAGGTCCCCGGGCCCTTCCGGGTTCGCGACCTTCGGCAGCAGTACCACCTTAGCTTCGTGCCACGCTGCGGGCAGCGGCATTTCCCTGAACAATAGCTTGTTGAAAAACTCCAGCAAGCGTCCGTTCCCGTCCTTTTTGTGGTATGTCAGGACGGCCTCATAGCAAACCCCGTCCATTCCTGCACTGGTGTGTCGCTTGCACCTCATCAGGGCCTGGGTCAATTCGTCTGCATCAAAAGGTTGCGGTTGCACGGACATGTGGGTCGCTAACATTCTGTCCACAGCTTCCTTAGTGGGAGGAGGGAGGGAGCTGGTGTACTTGGCTTTGTAGAACTTGGCGAGGTCGGCACTTGCTTGTTGTTGTCCTCCCTGCTGTTCGATGTAGCTGGTTTCGAATGTTCTCTGGGCTGCACTTCGCCTTAGGTAGGAGATCGCCTGTCTATCTCCCGACTTCGCTCTGTCCAAGATGTCCAGTTGATGGGCGGCCTTGGCTTCCGCTCTCTGTTCCCTAATTTGCTTGAGCATGCATGCACGTTGCGAGGGATCCCGCGTATCTCTTCTTAGCGCGATCTGCAATTTGATCGCCTCGCTGTCCTTGTACCTAAGAGATGGTATTCGGCGGGAGTTCATGCAAAGGTCCACAAATGAGTCCATGCAGAATGTGCTGCCAGAGGCAGCATATTCTTCTATGCGGGGTGTGTCGGTGAGCCATCGCCCACACCTTGTCCTGGGCCGCTTGCCTCGTGTCAGCAGGGGAGCGGGGGAAACGAGGAGGCAAAAGACGGGCGAATGGTCTAAGGGCAGGGCCTCTTTCATATCTTCTCGCTTGTGCGCGTGCATTCGAATTCGAGGGACTCTTACGAAAACCGCATCGATTTCACTCTCATATCCTCGGGCCCCCCATGTGGGGCCCACCGACTTATGGAGATCCAGTGCGTACTTGGCTAGCAGTGCACGGAAGAGGCCCATGCCGACGAAGCTATCTGAGACTGCATGGGGTTCTTGATTAAGATCCATCCCCAGAAAGACCCAGTCCTGCGAGTTTGTCTCCGACATGGCTTGGTCGAACTGCTCCAGCGTCGCCTTCCAGCATTCCTCTGCTCCTGAGAGGGGCCTCCCCGCGGTGGGCATTCTCTTGCTGTGGGGCAAATGCAGGCATGCAACATGCATTCTTTGATTACCACATGCACCTAGTAGCAGCATACCTGCGGGCAAGGTGATTTTCCTATCAGCATGAAACCCAAGGCTCGTGCGCACCAGCACCGCCTGGCAGCGGTGCGCTTCGGGCGCCGAAGCCAAATAAAGGATGTATTCCTGTCCTCCCAGCAAATGGTCCTGCACTGTAAGCATGCAACGAATTCTTGCTTTCCAGCTATGTTCTGTCGTTTGTTCCGGCCTATTCCCTACTGACTGGGTTGTACTCCGAAGTGGTCATGCAGGGTGTGTTCCGAGACGCCTAGGGTCCTCGCGAGCAGGGGCCCCGGTACCCACCAGCCAGTCTCCGAGCCTCGGGCATCCAAAAGGAGGAGTGCCCCGTCTACCGGCTTGATGTTGTCTAAGTGGGCTAACACACTCTCCCTCTCCAGTCGAATTCGAAGTCCTGTGGACGGAGGTACTTGGAGACCAAGTCTTTCAGGGACACTATGGCTCTTACCCGGGCTCGTTCCTCGGGGCTACGATTCCGTTTGACCCAGAGGGGTTCAGCGGGCTGGTTCTCGGCTTTGGGGGGTCTTGTGACCGCTCGGAGTGCTTCCACCACTTTTCCCTGAAGTTTGCGTCGCTCTCCTAAGTGGCTTTGGACATACAGCAGTTCTACGCGGCATGTGTTAGTGCGGACGCTGCTGCAGTAGATGTTTTTCAGTAGGGGCAAACAGTCTGCTCGCTCAAACCATCCCCTAACCTCCTCTTCAATGTCGTCTCTCCTACACTCTTTCCACCCTCCCATTACCAGCTGCCAATCATCGTGTCTGCCAGAGCTTGACCCTCGGGGGGAAATGGACCCTGCCCCTGAAGTCACACTAGGCGAACGAGATCTCAAATCCCGAAGTTCTTCTTCTACAGCGACAAGGCGTGCCTCGAGGGAGTTGGTGCGCTCCAGCTGTGCGTCCTGTCGCGACTCCCATGTGTCAACCTTATCGGCCACCGCCTGGAGAGTGCGGGTATTGCAATTAAGGGCTTGGAGTTGGTCCTGCTGGCCTTTATCTATTCTGCTGAGCCCTGCTTGGATCTGGGTGGCCCAGGGAGGCGGCACATCATCCCCTATGTGGTAGGTTTCATGAGGCAGGGGTCTCTTGGGTTTTTCGGGGGGCGCTGCGCCAAAGACTGGAGGTGGCTTTAGGCCGGGACTGCCTACTGACACCAAGGGGACGGTTGAGGGCGGTAACGGGGGTTTCTCAGGTCGGGCTTTCTTGTCGGGGCTTCCATCAGGTTTGTTCTTTTTGCTAAGGAGTTTCTCTGCTGCATTAGCCGCTGCTTCTGCTGGCGTCTCGGAGATTCCCCCCCCCACCCCTGCCGCCAGCCGAGTGACCTCATCATCCCCCAGTGCAGCACGGAGCGCATCCCGGGCCGCCGATGCAATTTCCGACTCCCCCCCTCCTCGGAGCTGTCCCCCGCTGACGGGTGTAGTAGCGGCATCCATTTCGGTGTCCCCTCCCTCCCCCCCCCCTTCTCCCCACGGCTGGGTTTCTTCATCGGGGCCTGCAAAATGAGCCATGAGTAACGAGAGTAGGGGAGAGACTGCACGAGGGTCACGAGGGGGAAGGCCTCAGAACAAACGACACGACGCGGAGCACGACGACGGGACGCCAGTCCCCCGAAGGGCTCGCCTGCTGTTCGGCACTTGAGCCAAAATGGCTTGAGCCAAAATGGTTTAGGGTTTTAGGTTTGAGGGTCTAGAGTTTAGGGCTTAGGAGGTTCAGGAGCCCTAAAGCAAGAAACAAGCAGCGTAGGTATGGGGCGTCAGGGCTCAGAAGGATTTGGGTAAGCTTTGGGAATCTTGGTAGGGGCAAGTTGCAGCTTCATGTTCTAACATGGAACTTGAGAGCTAGAGATTCGTACTCTAAGAGTCAAGCCGCAAGCTGTCCCTTGCATGCGCAATGCCGCGGCAGTAAACCCAAAGCCCCAACAGGACTGTGCTGCCTACTTTGGCCTACCTGCTCCATTCTGTCACGGGATAGTTGCCGCCCGGATTCGGTACCTGAATATGCGGCAGTGCGTTTGTTGTGCTTCTCGCCGCGTCTAGCCCCTACGGTCTACAGCGAACTAAGAGCATGAGGATAATGATGTTCCAACTTGATGGCTTCCGTTAAATTTTCGATCATGTCTCACAGAAGACAGCCCTCCCTAGACCAACTTGTAAACCCGAAACATCCGATCCGTGTTTGTGGATGCCTGCAGGATGATGAAGGCAACACCTTCGTCGCGCACCTCCGTGGCAAGAATATGGTTCGTCATTCGTGTATAGGTTGTCGTATTGAGCTGACAAAGATTTCGGCCGTCACCCGGCGGTGGAACTGCGCGAACCGTAGCCCAGATAAGTGAATAGATTTGAGGCTGTATAAGTTGCTAGCAATCAACGGGATTCCGCTTATCTCCTTTCTCGTATACACTCAAGGAGTGTCCCTATAATCTACAACCTGTGGCACGGAACTGCTCGCAGAAACGCTGCAATACATGGTCGCGGTGCACAGAAACCTGCAGGAAGAACGGTTTCTGGCAAGCCCGAAACCCTAAAACCTCCTCTTGAAGGATTCAGGCTGTAGAGCAAAACTAGTTGCAAAGCTCCTTGTTGCATATACCCAGGTTGGCCCCACTCATTGGAGACATCAAGCCCGTCGCACGCGGGCCGGACGTTGTGCACGGAGCCCAAGTTGGGCACAGGTGCTTGGACTGCTACTGCTGATGATATAAATCCCGCATTTATCTTAAGGACCCCAAACTAAGGAATTATGGTATATTCCTACTTACGGGTAATGCAGGATTTATATCATCAGTCGCGGGATGAGAGCTGACGTCGCGCCTAGGAGCCCTCTTGCCGACCCATGTATCCCTTTTGCCCCTTTCATTAAGAGGATTTTGACGGGGGCGCTAGGAGCAGCTAGCTAGAAGTCTTGAGGGTTTAGCTTCAAGGATTTGCAGTGCTTGCAGCTTTTAGGGCTTTGTGTTAAGTGTTAGGTGTTTGGCTGGAGGAGATATTGCAGAGTAGTTATGATCTTGGGTCGCACACTCATTACACCCCGACCCCGGCGTGAACCGGCACGAACCAGGAACTGTAGCATTGCAACCACCCTTAGGACCCTCGAAGTGGAAGGAGATCGGCCTGGGCCTTAGTGGGATTGCATATCGGCTTCTGTTCTTGTAGGGTTGTAAGCTAGTTATATAGCTAGTAGCAATCCTCACCGAGACACCATCGCAACGTCCCACATCAGTCTTTCGACTTCCGGCATGAAGAGCACCTTCCCGGCCGTGGGCGCAGTTTTAAAGATCAAAGCCAAATCCGTGAGTGGTTGCACTTGTCTTCCAGTTGTCATGAACTGTCACACTGCAAAATCGCATCAGTAGCGATAGCAGACTCGCAGAACAGGAGACGGAACAGTGAGAGCAGCACCGACAACGGCATCTGCCATCAAACCATGACAACTGACGGTCCTGCCATCATTAGTACACATGCTAGGTTGTTTGGGCTTCCTTGGGGCTGGCGTGGCATGTCGTTTGAACCCAATATTTGGGTTTCTCCAACCCGGGCTCAGCGAATCTTCCTTGTGCGTACTCACGGAATAGCCATCTAATTTGATTCGCGTTGCAATTTGCTACATCCGGCCCTCCGAAACGGCTGAGCATGATGAGCTCTATTCTGGCTTTAATGACGCAGTGTGTCAGTGTGTGGTTGCACACTTGAGATTTTGTGTGGGGTATTGGGCAGTGCTGTAAGCACACTTGCTTACTTCTCGCCGCAAGTTGCGAAACATCGGTTGTATGGACACACCGCAGCCGTTCTCCAAAGGTGAAGGGTGGCTTAGTAGTGTAGGTTTTCGCTCTCTGACTGCTGCGAAGCAGTTAGATTCTAGGCTCGTTTGTCATTCTCGCTTACCTGACCCATGCGTGATGACGCGAGTAGGAGTCCGCGGACATTACAAGCAACACAAACTGCCCATTTCCATGTAGTGTCTCGGTCAAACGCCAGCATATCCTAGATGCACACAAGAGTTCATTTTGGATTCTGCCTTAGATGCACTGCATGCTTGCGGTATTGTTGGCATACTTCTAATTCTACACCAGAACCCTCGAACAGAGTGCCGGCCACTTGTTGGGAGGGAGGGAAGAGCAGAACATATCCGAGCCTAGACTTAGACTTCGCTGGCCGCGGGGCACGGTCTCGTTTCATCATTCCTTGGGATGACATGGGTGCTCGAAGTTGTGTCTTCTGTCGTCGCCGGCCTTGTGATTGCTTCTCAGGCTGCAATTGAGTTCTGATCATGCAGCGTCGAGTGAAGTTGTAGAGAAGCATAGGATGATGAAGGGTTTAGGATTCAGGGTCTAGAGTGTAGGGTGAATACAGGATCCTTGTGAACGTTCCGACCATCAGTCTTATAAAGGCCCTACCATGTTTCGGACATATCCCCCTGCCGATGTGATTTTATTATTCAGTCTCGAAAGGATGAGGCGTGAGGTTTGTAACCTGAAGCCTAACCTCCAAGCAGATTCCTGCAGCGTAAAGCCAGACGTGCTCAGGGCTTGGTAGCTTGGCATAGACAGCTCACTAGCACCCCTCTTTCACGGCTGAATGCAATAGGCCACCCAGACCCTTCACACCGCTCCCCAGGACCCCAGCACACGGCCATGATACTGGAGTGTACTTTAAACCTCAGCTCTACCGCTACTATATAGCCCACACATTGTAGCTTCATTTCCACTTCACCAGTTGTTGTGCGACTTGCGTCGGGTCAGATTCGGAGCTTCGAGTTTCGGCTTTACGATTTGGGGTCTTGGGCTTGAATTGAAAAAGCTCTCTATGGCCGTGGGGTCGGGGATCCAGGCGTCGTGGTGTAAGGGCCTAGCAGATAGTCCGCAGTCCCGTGTCCTGCTGTTCCTCAGATTGTCATCACTGCAGCTGTCGAGCGTTTCGGCGGCGTGGTTGGCGGTGTCTTGGGGACGGTGCCTTCGTCATAAAATACCTTTCATTCAGAGCAAGGGTATATTGGGTTCTGAAGCTCCCAAACCTCCTGATGGAAGCCATATTGCGACCCTTAAAGAACCCTTACAACCACCCGGTAGTCAGAAATTCGTCAGTGGTTTCCAAGCCCTTCCAAGATTCCGCACGACTGGCACCTCGGCACTGAAGCAGTTGACGCATGTTGACACGGTACATTGTCTGAGCTCGAACTGAAGCTGGCTTCTGTCGCTGGACTGTAGCTGTAAGGCGTCGTACTGCTCACGGTCACCCTTGGGCTACGAAGCCAGGTGGAGAAAGAACTTAAACCGTAAAGCCTTGAAGCAGATAGCAGCCAC